GTCGGGGGGGGGGGGGGGGAGAATGTCTGTCTTGTAGTTGCTCCTCCCAATCCGAATGGGGGTCCATGCTGAAGGTGTTTTTTGGGAGTGTCTGTCCATCTAGTCTTCATTAGCCTTTCTCAGCGTTTTTGGTGGGTACAGCAACTGCGATATTCCACGCCTCGGAGGCCGAGCTCACTGATCCACATCTGCCACGTTGTGTCCTTTGTGTCTGTAGGTGTCCCAAATTAGTTTAGCTTTAGCTAGTGTTCGTTTAGGGCCGAATTGGTACTGGTGCATTGTTTCGTATGTCCAGTTTAATGCAATTTGATGTAATAATTGTCTGATTGTTGGTGCCTCTTTGGATTTCCATAGTCTTGCTATTAATATGTGCGCTGATGTGACTGAGTGGTATACTAGGGCTTGATGTGTTTTGTGCATTGTGTCTGGGAATATATATAATAGGCATAGTGTTGGATCTGCTTCCATTTGGGAACCCAGCAATTCCAAAATCATTCGTATAGTCTGTTGCCAGAAGGGTATGAGTTTGGGGCATGTCCACCAAATGTGGATCATTGTGCCTACTTCTCACTCGCATCTCCAACATTTGTTTGTGGAGCTTGGCCAGATTTTTTTTTATTTTTTCTGGTACCATCGGTATAGTATCTTCCTTTGTATTTTTAGGTGTTGGGCGCATGAAGTAATGCCCTTGTGGACTGTGTATGCTTTAAGCCATTGTGTGGGGTGTAGCACAATTCCGATTTCCCTGTGCCATGCGTCTTTGTAGTGTTCAGGGGGTGGATATGTAGGAGCGCCTGATAGCATTTGGACAGGGGTTTTGTGGTTGGAGTATTTGATAGGCATGCATTTTTGAATTTCGAAGTAGGTTCTGTTGTTACCTTGTTGGGATCTACGTGCGTATTGCTTGTTAGTAGTGATTTTAGTTGGAGGTATGGGAACAGCAATTTTGTGGGTAAATCAAACTGTTCTTGGAGGCATGGAAAGGTTTGGAGGCTTCCTTCTTTGTATCAGTGGAGGACATGGGTGATGCCTCTATCCGACCATGGCTTATAGTTAAAGGTAGGGATAGATAGACTGAAAGATTGTAGTGGTGCCGCTAAAGGCATGTTGGGATGGTTAGCTAATTTACTCCTGACCTCATCCCATGTTTCTATAAGCAACCGAGTAGTTGGGAGTCCTGGAAATGGTTTGAGTCGTCTGTTTTTTTCAATCCAGAAGATTGGGTGGATCTGGTCCATCTGGAGCAAGAAGGCTTCTATCTTTATCCACTGTGGATTATAGTGTGTATCATGAGTGGTTAACATGGTACTTAATAGAGCTGCTTTGTAATAGGTTTGTAAATTCGGGATGCTTAACCCTCCATTTATAACTGGTCTGTGAAGAATTTTGGCTGCCACTCGGCACTTATGTTGCCATATAAATTTCATGAATAGTGATGCTACCGATTTTAGATATGTGTTCGGGAGGGGGATCTGCAATGTCCTGAATAGCTATAGCAATTTTGGAAGTATTGACATTTTGAGGGCCGCTATGCGTCCCAGCCATGAAAGAAATTTCCCTTCCCATGTTTTCAATGTATGTTCGAATTCCGTCAGAATTTTGGCATAATTCGCTTGGAATAGTCCCGCGGGTTTTTTTGTTAATTTGACTCCTAGGTAGGTTAGGTAGTCTGATCTCCAATCTAGAGGAAATGCTTCTTTTAGTCTGTCCCGTTCCTCTCTCCCTACACCTAGCGTCAATGCTTGCGTTTTCGTGACATTTAGTTTGTAGTAGGAATGAAGGCCGAAGAGGTTTATTTGACGCATGAGGTTGGGCATGGATATGAGCGGCTGCGTGAGGGTGAGTAAGATATCATCCGCAAAAATGTTTAATTTGCATTCCCTGACACCTAATGGAATCCCATGTATTGGGTCGGATCTAATTTTGGAGGCCAGGGGTTCTAAGGCTAGGACATAAAGCAGGGGGGAGAGGGGGCAGCCCTGTCTAGAGCCGTTAGTAATAGATATTGTGCGTGAGGGGAATCCTGCATAGAGGACCTGTGCTGTGGGAGTGCTGAAGAGCGCTTCCACCACCTCTATGAATCACGTTGGGAAGCCGAATTTACAGAATACTCTGTTAAGGAACATCCAGTTTAATCTGTCGAAGGCCTTCTAAGGACACGAAGAGGCCTGCTTTATTTAGTTTACGGGTACTATGCATTAGGTCCAGAACTTTGCGGGTGTTGTCAGATCCCTGCCTCCCCCTACAAACCCCACATGGTCGTCATGGATGAGCTCTGAAAGTATGTTTTTGAGTCTTTTGGCTTGGAGTTTGGCAAACAGTTTAGCGTCAGTGTTGAGCAAGGAAATGGGGCGAAAGTTTGGGCTCGCGGTTGGAGGTTTCCCTGGTTTGGGGAGGGTGGTGATGTGTGCCTGTAAGAGTTCCGTAGGTAGTGAGTGTTTGTCTATTGCAGTGTTAAACAATTTTGTAAGTGTGGGTGATAGGATATCTGCATAGAGGTGGTAGTATTTATTGGCAAATCCGTCCGGACCTGGGGCCTTATTCACGGGGAGAGTTTTTATTGTATCTCTGACCTCTTGTTGGGTGAGAGGAGCTGATAATGCGTCTTTTTGGGCTTGCGTAAGCGTCGGGAGGGGGCATTGCTTAGATAGTTGTATATCGCCGATTGTGTTGTGGTGGGTGTGAGTGGGTCCCGACTTAGGTTATAGAGAGAGTCATAGTATGTTGCAAATTCATCACTTATTGCTTTTGGGGCTACCACCCTACCTCTTTGGGGTGTTTGTATATATGCAATTTTGGAGGTTGCTTGTCTGTCTCGGAGTCTTTGTGCAAGAATTTTGCTTGCTCTGTTTCCCTGAGAATAGTGTGTGGCTTTGAGTTTACGTAATGAGTAGCCTACTTTGGTGAGTGCTAAAGCTTGTATCTTATCTTGCACTTCAGCAATTTGGTGTTTCAACTCCGGGGAGGGGTGTGTTTGGTTCAGTTTGTTTAGATCAAGGAGTTGTTTATACAAGATGATCTGTTGGGCGTGGGATGTTTGTTTTAGGAAGTGAGCTCATTTTATAAGTTCCCCGCGAATGGGCAAGCCATGTGGTTTCAACTTGTATCTCGGGTGAGGTATTGTCTTGAAAGTAGTTTGTGAGTGTGTTTTCAAGGTGTTGCACAAACGTTTGGTCATGCAGCAAAGTTTCGTTTAGGTGCCAAGGGCTTCTGTTATGACTATCGAATTTATCCTTTAGTTCTAAGGTGGTGGGTGCGAGGTCTGACCAAGTAATTGATGCAATTGAGCAGGTGGGCGCCTGCGTAAGATGCTTCCCAGTTGTAAAAAAACTATCTATGCGAGTGTAGGAGTTGTGCACTGCTGAGAAGAACGTAAAGTCCCTTTCCGTGGGGTGGAGGACTCTCCATGTAACGTAAAGATTGTGGTCATCTAATAGTTTATTATATGTTTTGCATTGTCTTTTGATCTGGGAGCGGTTTTGTGTGTTTGGACCCCTAGATGAGTCAAGGTTAGGGTCCAGGATGTGGTTGAAATCCCCACATATTATCACCATTCCTTTCTGAATCGGTTATATTTTAGCCAGGATTTTGTGTAGGAAATTGTGTTGTTCTGAGTTAGGTACATATACATTTGCCAGTGTGTATGTGATTTTGTTAATTGTGCAAATTAGCAAGATATAATGGACATAGCTTCCCAGTGTGTAGTCTTGGCAACTCAAGTTCTTGGGGTTCCTCATAATGTTTCTACTCCAGGGGAATAGGATAAACTTGGTAGGGGGAAGAATACAGGAGGGTTAGAGCAAGGAAAAAGAAAGACAATGCAGGCTGAGTCGCAAATCCCAGAAAGGGCTGAGTACCTTTAAAGGGTACCATGGGGGTCAGCAACATCAATATCAAAGGTGGGAAATCTTTGATGATTAGCCCTATAACAATTGCAAACATATTTGTAACATAGAAAACAAACAATAGAGATCGTTATTTTGGCTAGAGTTCAAATAAGGTACAAATTTACAGATTTTAAAGGGTGTGATGGTAGTGAGTAATGTTGGCGTCGTGGACCTTCCACTTTGCCCTTTGGCTGTTTTTGGTAGGCAAGACAGGCAAGACAGGCCGGTTAACTACTATTTGGTTTGTTGCCCAGACTTTAGAATGACGGTGCTGTGTATGTAGTGTCTGGTTAGGGTGGTTAGATAAAATGTATCCCTTCCATTGTGAGGCAAATACTTAGCAAGGAGACAGGTGTAAACTAATAATAATAATGTAATAATTAACTGGATTTTTTAGCGTAGATTTGTCTCCTACTTTCTGGTAGTGTAGATGTGATGCGCGTGTGGGGGTATCGGGTGTGTGTGGTATGTAGTATTCAAATACCCATCATGAACGTTCGCAATGAGGAAGTATCGCTTATCAGTCCTGAATCTTTATCACCCGTGTCTGGAAACAGGTAGTTGGTGTTTGTTTTACTTCTTCGCCTTTTTCCACTCTTGTTCTATTCTTTGCGGTGAGGTGGCTCTCCCGGCTCGCTTGTGGATCTGGAGATCCCATTGTCGAAGGGTTTTCAGTCCTTTCTCCGGAGATAGTATGTGAGTGAAAGTCCCATTTCGTTGGATGATCAGGCGCACTGGGTGTCCCCATCTATAAGGGATCTTGTGTTCTCGTAAGGTGTCTGTGGTCTCTTTAAACTCCCTTCTTCTCTGCAGAGTAGCCGCTGATAGATCTGCGAATATTTGCAGCTTGTCGTATTGTTTTTGTGGAGGTAGATTAACACGGTTTCTTGCTGCTTTCATAATAGCCTCCTTCACATGATAGTAATGAAGGTGGGTCAGCGTGTCTCTTGCTGCGCCCGCTGGTATGAATTAAGGCTTGGCTACACGGTGGGCCCGGTCTATTAGGATCATATCTGTTGGCATGTCAGGTAGGAGGCATTTGAAGTACCCGGTTGGAAATTCGGGTATGTCTGTCTGTAACACTGATTCCGGTATACCTCTTATCCGCAGATTTTACCGTCTTGATCTGTCCTCTAGGTCGGAAATCTTTAATTGTGCCGAGGTGAGCTGCTTTTCTAGGGCTTGGATGTGGTCTGCTAGGTCATTATGAGCATCAGCGTATTCGCCCATGCGGTGTTCCACGTGGGCCGTCCTCTCCCATAGCTCTTGTATGTCTTTACTTAGCGTGGCTACCGAGGATTGTATGTTGGCCAGCAGCTTTTGTGACATTTCCTCCAGACAGGCTCTCAAGATTTCTTGGGTGACCAGGAGATTGCCAGGGTCTGGTGAGTTTTGCAGGGGGAGAGTCTCGTCCCCACCGCCATCTTGGTCTGCCTCGTGTAGGCCCGGGGTTTTGGTTTGCGCTGATCGCGCCGTGAAAAATCCGGATTTGTCCCCTCGGTCAGGCTGTTTTTGTTGAGCCATGTTATGAGGTGAGTGGAGAGCAATATTGGGCGATTTTGCTTGGTTTAGTCGCTTGTAGGGCTAATCTTGGAGCGGAGCGCTAGTGTAGTGCGACCATCTGCTTTGGCTTCCTGGCCACGCCCCCCTTAAAATACAATTTTAATGTGAAACAATTTTAGTATGTTTGTCTTGTAGGTTTAGTAGCCACCACAGAAAACAAAATTGCCACACAAAAGTATATATTTATATAAAGTAGACATCACAGGCTATTAACCTTAGGTTAGTTTGACACTTTTTACTTAACCATTTAATTGCCAATCTCTGCTAAATATTGGAGTAAAATTGTGTTTTTTCTCTATTTTGGCATATACACATTTAACAAAGTTTTTGTAATGTATATTTCGTAAAGCTGGTGTGTGCTATTCCTGCACAGAACCCCATATCACCCATTGTACACAGGGCCGGCCTTAGGCAATTAGGCGCCCTGTGCAAAAAGTCTTCACTGCGCCCCCCCCACCTCCCACCAAGTTGCCTGAATACAGTAACACACACAGGCACCGGGGACGTGTGTATCACGAGGCAAACAAGGCATCTGCCTTGGGCGCCACTTTGCAGGGGGCGGCAAAAAAAAGCATCCCTCCAAACCCCCAGGCAGATCCCTTGCTTGCCTCGCATCCTGGGGGGCTCAAGAGCTGACCGGCTGGCCACTTTTGAGCCCCCCCAAGGCTGGCAGCGGGCAGCGAAGGAGCATACTCACCTGAGCTCTTCCTGCTCAGCTTCCTCTGCGCCGCTTAATGAAGCCGGGAGCCAGAATATGACGTCAGTCCGGCTCCCGGCATCACTAAGCGCTGCTTACTCAGCCTGTGCGCCCCCTGCCTGCCTGCCCAGCAGCCACACTGGACTGCTGGTAAGAAATCCACTCCAGCTTTCCCAGGGAGGCTGGGTGGATTTAAAATAAATGTAAAAAATATTAGTTTGTGAGTGTTAGTGGAAATGTCTGTGTGTGTGTCTGTGAGTGTTTATTTTGAAGTGAATGTGTGTGTGTGTGTGTGTCTGTAAGTGTGTAATTGTGTGTGTCTGTAAGTGAATGTGTGTGTGTCTGTGAGTGAATGTGTGTGTTGGTCAGTGAGTGTATATGTGTCAGTCAGTGAGTGTGTATGTGTCAGTCAGTGAGTGTGTATGTGTCGTCAGTGAGTGTGTATGTGTCGTCAGTGAGTGTGCGTCTGTCAGTGAGTGAGCGTCTGTCAGTCAAAGTGCGGCCTTGACAGGAAGGGGTGGGGGAAATTTAAACTCGGTTACAGGCATGTACACACACACTCAGTTAAAGGCAGTCACACATACAGGCACAGGCACAAACAATGGCACAGCTACAGCGACACACACAGACAGACAGTCACATAGGCAGTCACACACACAGACAGACACACAGTAACACACACATAGACAGTTATACACACACAGGCAGGCAGTCACACAGATAGAAAGTCACACACACAGGCAGGCAGTCACACACAGACAGATAGTTACAGACAGACACACACAGGCAGGCAGGCAGTCACATACAGGCAGTCACACACACAGGCAGTCACACACACAGACAGACAGTCACACACACAGACAGTCACACAGACAGACAGTCTCACACACACAGGCAGTCACACACACGGGCAGTCACACAGACAGACAGTCACACAGACAGACAGTCACACACACAGGCAGTCACATACATGGGCAGTCACATACATGGGCAGTCACACAGACAGTCACACACACAGACAGTCACACACAGGCAGGCAGTCACACACAGAGACAGTCACACACACACACAGAGACAGACAGTCACACACACACACACACACAAGGACAGGCAGTCACACAGACAGACAGTCACACACACACAGACAGACAGTCACACAAACAGGCAAACAGTCACACACACACACTTACCTCTTTCCAGTGGATGCAGTTGGCTGATGGGGAAGCATCTTTCCCTCTTCCTGTACAGCAGGGGCTTCGGGAGGTATTAGCCCCGTCTCCGCCTCTCGATAAGCCCCGCCTCCGCCGCTCGGTAAACCCCGCCCCCTCTGCCGCGATTTTTTTTTTTTTTTTAAATAGACCTTTTAGCTCCCCTGCACTCCGGCCATGAGTGAGCTGTGTCGGCCACAGGGCGCCCCCTGTTCCATGGCGCCCTGTGCGGTCGCACAGCTCGCACACCCCTAAGGCCGGCCCTGATTGTACAGCGCTATGGAATTTGATGGCGCTATATAAATAATATAATAATAATAATAATAATAATATTGTGTTCAGCTACATCTGCTGAGTATAACGATATCCCCATTGTATGCTAATGAGACTGTTTCAAAATTTCGAGTTGGTGTAAGAGGTTTAGATGATGTATTTAATGTGTTACATGAATGTCAAAATCAATTTTCATGGCCACATGTTATAATTTTTCACTACGGGGTTAATGATATAGGAAAAGTCAAGTCAGTGGTGCTGTTTCACCAATTGAAAGAAGATATTTGGAATGTTAATAGGATGTTTCCAGACTCTTTCATCATTTGGTCTGAGATTGTACCTTGCCTGGTGTGGTTGATCAATGTGAATCTTAAAGCTTTAGAAAGCTTTAGGCGCAAGCTGAACAGAGCCATGGAAAAATGTATGCCATCAATCAGTGGTCTGACTTTTTGCCATGTTGATATTGAGGGTCATTGTGTAGGTTTATTCTTTAAGGATGGTATTCACTTGTCTGAGGTCGGTTGTGATATTTTTAACAATGATTTACAGTGTATGATTGATAAGGCTGTGGTCTGGTGGGGTGGTCTGCAGTATTAGTTGAATGCTGCAGCTGGTGAGGTTAAGGTCACCTGCCTATTTTAAAGGGGGAAGGGGGCAGGGGAGGGGTGGGCTAGCTGAGTTTGGTGAGTTATTTGACTAAGTTCTGGCTAATAGGGCAGAACTCTAGTAATTCATGTGGTAAACCTCTGGAGGTTTAAAGACAGGGGTATTTGGTAACAAGTTATATAATTTTAAAGCTATTTAAGTTACGATTTGTTATGTTTTGTAAACTAAATATCTGAGTCTGTGTGTTTTTATATTATTTCATTTTGTGTTTATTATATATATTCATGAAATGTTTATATGTTTGTGTATGTTAGAATTAACCCCTGCAGTGCACAAGACAGTACACGGTCAGTTGACCGTGTACACATGTGCGCTGCGGGGTTAGCAGTGGGAAGGTTAATGCGCGCGCTCTGCTGGCGGGTCGCGAGGGCATCAGTAATGGTCTGTGTTCTTGTGGACATATAGTGCAGAGGTCCACGCGGACAGTGCTCTAATTGGAGCGTTTTTCCAAGAAGGCACTGTAAAGCGGGAAAACCGCAATATATAAGGTGCCCTGAGGTAACAGCTGGAGCCAAAACAGCTGAAAAAAAAATTGTGATAGAGCTGTTCCTCACCCTCCCTCCCTATAATTTTATTTTGATTCCATGTTGTGGTTTTTTTTTTGGGGGGGGGGGTGGGGGAGGGAGGCAGTGTTAAGGTCACCTGCCTATTTTAACCCCTTCAGGACGGGTGACGGACGAGGTCCGTCACAGAGGGGAGACCCTTAACGATGGGTGACGGACCTCGTCCTTCACGCGGTAAAATTAACCCCGGATCGCCTCTATCGCGGCGATCGCGGGGTTAATGGTGCTCCCGGTATGCCTCTGCATTAGAGGCATACCGGGAGCACCCGGTCAGGCTGCCCAGCACATGTGCTCGCTCTGACCGCAAGTCAGAGCGAGCACATGTGCTCTGTATACTCACCTACCGGCTCCCTGCACTTCCGGGTTCTGTGTGAAGTGCAGGGAGCCGGAACAGTGATGATCCTGCCCCCTGCTGTTAAAAAAAATAAAGTTAATTTAAAGTCCCCCCCCTTTATCCATTTTAATAAAAAATTAACCCCTTCCCTGCCAATTGATCACTGACTACAGTGATCAATTGGCAGGAATTACATTTTACTATGATCTAATTTTTTTTTTAACCCCTGAGGGTTAATTCTTTTTTTTTTTAACCCTCAAGGGTTAAATTAATTAAATTAATTAATTAAATTATTTTTAAATTATATATTTAGATAGCTGGGGTGGGTGGAAGTTAGTGGGGAATTGGGGGATTTGGCGTTAGGCGTTCGCCTACAGCGATCAAATAGAGATCACAGTATTATACTGTGATCTAATTTTTTTTAACCCCTGAGGATTAACTTTTATTTATTTTTTTAACCCTCAGGGGTTCAATTTATTTAATTAATTAATTTAAATATTTTATAACTATATATTTTGCTAGCTGGGGTGGGTGGGAGTTATGGGAAAATGGGAAATTTACTGTTAGTGCTGCGTACTGCTAGTTAGGGGTTAACGGTAAAAAAAAAAGCTTAGAAAAATGTTAAATCTGTAAAAAAGTTTTAAGAAAGTTTAGGAAAGTTTAAAAAAAATTTATAAGCAAAACAAAAGTTTAAAAACTAGTTTTTAAAAGTAAAAAAGTTATAAAAAGTAAAAAAATACATTTTAAAAACGCTCATTACCACTACACCTGGAACAAACTAGAGAAAAAATTATCCCACGCCAAGGATCAAAATATGCCTTTTGAATTACCCCAGGGTGTATTCTTTAATAAATAGTATGTGTTTGTGGGGAAGTTTCAATAACCAACCGTCTAAACTACTCCAAATTGGAACATGGACACAGCGTAAAACTTCAAAGTTAGAAAAAAACTGAATGGCTGCGTCTCAAATGCGCCCCTTCAACATCCACATATACCTGGCAAAGGTACATACGGGGGTATTGCTGTACTCAGCTGACATAGCTGAGCAACATATGAAGTATTATACAGTCATAGTACACATAAGGTTTGCAAAATATGCTGCGCAAACTCACTTTGTATGTCAAAAAGGCAGAAAAAATGCTTATTACCACTACACTTGGTACAAGCTAGCGGAAAAATGATCCCACGCTAAGGTTCAAAATATGCCTTTTGAAATACCCTGGGATGTCTTCTTTAAGAAATGGTATGGCTTTATGGGGAATTTGGATTATATAGCCTGGTAAAATACTCTAAAATGGGACATAGGCACAGCATAAAAATTCAAAGTTTGAAAAAAACTGGAATGGCTGTGTCCCAAATGTGCCCCTCCGATGTCCACACATACCTGGCAAAGGTACATACGGGGGTATTGCTGTACTCAGCCGACATAGCTGAGCAACATATGAAGTATTATACAGTCATAGTACACATAAGGTTTGCAAAATATGCTGCGCAAACTCACTTTGTATGTCAAAAAGGCAGAAAAATGCTTATTACCACTACACTTGGTACAAGCTAGCGGAAAAATTATCCCACGCTAAGGTTCAAAATATGCCTTTTGAAATACCCTGGGATGTCTTCTTTAAGAAATGGTATGGCTTTATGGGGAATTTGGATTATATAGCCTGGTAAAATACTCTAAAATGGGACATAGGCACAGCATAAAAATTCAATGTTTGAAAAAAACTGGAATGGCTGTGTCCCAAATGTGCCCCTCCGATGTCCACACATACCTGGCAAAGGTACATACGGGGGTATTGCTGTACTCAGCCGACACAGCTGAGCAACATATAAAGTATTATACAGTCGTAGCACACATAAGGTTTGCAAAATATACTGTGCAAACTCACTTTGTGTGTCAAAAAGGCAGAAAAAATGCTTATTACCACTACACTTGGTACAAGCTAGCGGAAAAATGATCCCACGCTAAGGTTCAAAATATACCTTTTGAAATACCCTGGGATGTCTTCTTTAAGAAATGGTATGGCTTTATGGGGAATTTGGATTATATAGCCTGGTAAAATACTCTAAAATGGGACATAGGCACAGCATAAAAATTCAAAGTTTGAAAAAAACTGGAATGGCTGTGTCCCAAATGTGCCCCTCCGATGTCCACACATACCTGGCAAAGGTACATACGGGGGTATTGCTGTACTCAGCCGACATAGCTGAGCAACATATGAAGTATTATACAGTCATAGCACACATAAGGTTTGCAAAATATGTGCACAAACTCACTTTGTATGTCAAAAAGGCAGAAAAAATGCTTATTACCACTACACTTGGTACAAGCTAGCGGAAAAATGATCCCACGCTAAGGTTCAAAATATGCCTTTTGAAATACCCTGGGATGTCTTCTTTAAGAAATGGTATGGCTTTATGGGGTATTTGGATTATATAGCCTGGTAAAATACTCTAAAATGGGACATAGGCACAGCATAAAAATTCAAAGTTTGAAAAAAACTGGAATGGCTGTGTCCCAAATGTGCCCCTCCGATGTCCACACATACCTGGCAAAGGTACATACGGGGTATTGCTGTACTCAGCCGACATAGCTGAGCAACATATGAAGTATTATACAGTCGTAGCACACATAAGGTTTGCAAAATATACTGTGCAAACTCACTTTGTATGTCAAAAAGGCAGAAAAAACGCTTATTACCACTACATCTGGTACAAGCTAGCGGAAAAATGATCCCACGCTAAGGTTCAAACTATACCTTTTGAAACACCCTGGGGTGTCTACTTTAAGAAATGGTAGGCCTTTGTGGGGTAGTTTGAATTTAAAACCTGCGAAGATGCTTGGAAATTGCACATAGGCACAGCGTCAAAATTCAAAGTTTGGTAAAAACGGATATGGCTTGGTCTCCTATATGGCACTGTAGCTTCACAAAATAGTGACAAAGACATTCATTGGGGGTGTATTTTTACTCAAAAGACTTAGCTGAGCATAATTTGGGAGGTTTGAACTTAGTGGCACATATGAAATATACAAAACGCCCAGCAAAAATGCAATCCGTATGTAAAAAATGCACAAAATAATTTTTTTACCACATACTTTGGCATATATTGGTGAAAAAATGGGGGTATGTTAAGGCACAATATGCACCTTATAAGATACCCTGGAGTGTCTACTTTTACAAATGGTAGGCCTTTGTGGGGGTTTTTTGAACAGTCAAACTGTTATAATACCCCAAATGGAAGCTAAGGCTCATTAAATCCATCTCTCAAAATTCTACTGTGAATACTGTAAAGGACAGGTCTCCTATATGGCACTGTAGCTTCACGAAATAGTGCCAAAGACATTCATATGGGGTGTCATTTTACTCAGAAGACTTAGCTGAGCATAATTTGGGGGTTTGAACTTAGTGGCACATATGAAATATACAAAACGCCCAGCAAAAATGCAATCCGTATGTAAAAAATGCACAAAATTATTTTTTACCACATACTTTGGCATATATTGGTGAAAAAATGGGGGCATGTTAAGGCACAATATGCACCTTATGAGATACCCTGGAGTGTCTACTTTTACAAATGGTAGGCCTTTGTGGGGTTTTTTGAACAGTCAAACTGTTATAATACCCCAAATGGAAGCTAAGGCTCATTAAATCCATCTCTCAAAATTCTACTGTGAATACTGTAAAGGACAGGTCTCCTATATGGCACTGTAACTTCACGAAATAGTGCCAAAGACATACAATGGGGGTGTCATTTTACTCAGCAGATGTAACTGAACACAAAATAAAACTTTGTACAGGAATAGCACACACCAACTTTACAAAATATACACGAGAATTTCTCTGTTATAAGTTTGTGTGCCAAAAACCAAAAAGAACACAATTTTACTCCAATATTTAGCAGAGGTTGGCAGTGAAATGGCTACGTAGAAAGTGTCAAAACAACCTTAGGTAAATAGCCCGTGATGTCTACTTTATATAAATATATACTTTTGTGTGGCAATTTTGTTTTCTTTTATGGCTATTAAGCTTACAAGACAAACATACCAAATTCTAAAATCGCTCCACATTAAAAGTTTATTTTACTCCTTGTGCTTTGTGACCTGTAACTACCAAAAAAAACTTAAAATCCCAGACACATTATATATTCTGTAAATCAGAACAAATAAATAAATTTATTTTTAATTACTTTCCTTAACCTGCACTAATTATGCACACATTATTATTGCAAAAACTGTAAAAAAAACCAATATTTTTCATTTTTTTTGCATTTTTCTGTATTTTTTTTATAATAAGTAAGCATTTATATATATATATGTTATATCAAATTAAAGCCCTTTCTGTCCTTTAAAAAACAGTATATAATATGTGTCGGTGCAATAAATGAGAGAGATGCAAATTGCAGTTGAACGCAAACAGCAAGAAAATGCAAAAATTGCTTGTGTTATTAAGCGTAAGTCAAGCTTCTGAAGCTGTGTCCTTAAGGGGTTAAAGGAGGGGTGGACTAGCTGAGTTTGAGTTATTTGTTTAAGTTCTGGCTAGTAGGGCGGAACTCTAGTAATTCATGTGTTAAATCTCCGGAGGTTTAAAGACCAGAGATGTTTGGTTACAAGTTATATAATTTTAAAGCGATTAAGTTACGGTTTGTTATGTTTTGTAAACTAAATAAAAGACTACGACCTTTTTCATCACATATCTAAATCTGTGTGTTTTATTATTTCATTCTGTGTTTATTATGTATTTTCATGAAATGTTTATATGTTTGTGTGTTAGAATTAACCCCTGCAGTGCACAGGACAATCTGTGATAGGTATTCTCTGCTCTTATCAACCAATTTGACATAGAGTCTATGCCAAAAGAAATCAACATGAGAGAGAGAAAAAAACTATTTTACATGGGTTTTTCTCTCAATATATACATTTGCTAGTAAAACTGCTAGCACAAAGTACAGATGAAATTTGATACTATTTAAAAAGAGCAAAGGTAGTTTGGTGCATGACAGGTTCCTTTTACTTTACATAAATAGCATTCACCTGGGTGAAGAAAGGAGTAACTGTTAATTCGCGAGAAATGACAGTTTCATTTTAAGCTTGGTAAAGGAACACACCAAATACCTAATGCACTTCAGCAAGCTAGAGGTTAACTGTATGTGTTTGTCATATTTTATAAAAGTGCCAATTTCAAAAGATTTGAATGCATGTACCCTGCTTCCAATGATTGTCACAGAGAGGAGATGAGCTCCCAGAGGAGTAGCCGAGCTGCAGTAAGAAGACTGTCTCACCGCTGGATTACATGTAATACTAAGTAACTTCATTTGTATGATTTTGGGGACCCCATCATTCTAATGAACACCAGGAATCCTCCAAGGTTAGAAGGAAATGTAGTGTTCCTTTAGGCAATTTCTATGTTGTGTGGTTCAAACATTTTTAAAGCACTATTTAGAACAGTGATTGCCAACCTTGCCAACCTAACGCTGGCTAACCATCAATGGTAGTCTCCAAACATCTAAAGGTGTATTCACCAAAGTGAGAACTCAAAGTGAATTTCAAAGTTAGGGTTAAAATACCTGTACTGTTCAAATTCTCTAAATTTATTTTGGCTACTCTGCACTTGTATTTTAAACTCCCTTTAATTACTCACTTTGGTTACTAACGGTGATAGCGTCAAGGCTATATAGTTTTAGAATAGGTGATGTCAATACTCTAACATAGAACACATATTTATCATTTTTATGGAATGTGGTGTGATTTAACATCATAGAAGAACAAAAAGTCCAAGCTACAGGTGTAATGAAAATAAAATGTATTTCAATAAAGTTGCATGATTTTGAACAGTGATCAGTAAAGGATGCCGGGATATGTAGTTTCCAGGTCTGAGGCCCTTTCCTGTCTATCCTAGAGTGCAGCAGACTGTCTTTCCTGTACAGACCCTGCCTAGTAAATAGGTACACGAGCAGTACGCGCGCCCACTTATTTCACTGCACACAGTAAATCCCCGTTCTGTTTATACAGGTCTTGCGGCAGACTCCAGGCTGAGCCATGCACATTGGCTGCCTATCTTTCCGCCAGCCATATGCTGGGCTGATCCTGAACGGAGTGAAAACCATAGAGACGCGCTGGCGCCCTCTGCTGGCTGATTACAAGAACACCACCTTGGCCATACACATTGCAGTGAAAGACTGGGAAGGCCAAGATTGGCAACATGTTTTACAGAACAGACTTGGAATGTCCCTTACACAGATACAGCAATTAATGGACACAGGGGAACAGTTTGGCAGGGGAGTTATTGCAGGTAAAATGTATTTTATGGCAAAAAAAGGAACTTTCAGAATTTTTGGATGAATATGTTTTATAATGCTAAATTCTTTTGTCCCTGGACAACAGAAACTAATATGACACTTTTAAAGAAAATTCAAGTAAACTTTATAAAATTTATAGCAACTGGATGTGTTTATTGTGTTTTAAACAGAACTGTCACTTTTTATTTTCTTATTTTGTTACAGATTGATGCTAAAAGCTAGCTAAGGGCTGTGCTTGGGGAAAAAAAAGATACACTTGTAGAAATTTTATTTTATAATTGTTTTTGTTAAAATTATAACCAATTTGTTTTTACACTTGCTAAGAAAACTATTGTGATTAACAATGTAATGTAGAGAGACTTGAGATTGGAAAAATAAATCTGTGTCCGAGAATAAAAAGCAAACACACAGAGGTTTATTTACTAAACAACAAATTATAGTGAACTGAAAATTGAAACCAAAAATGTACTGATATGGGGAAAAAAGAATTATAATAGAATTATTAGCCCATAGTTTGCAATTTGGTTTTAAAGTCACTTCAATTCAGTGGTTAGTGGATAAACATCATATATTATCACACAATGTATCATATTCATTACCATACCTCCTAGCATTCCTGGATTTGGCAGGTCAGTCCCAATTTCATACCTCCCAGCATTAGGAGGTGTGTAATTGTAATCGGTCATTGGGCCTTCTAAGGGACATCACCAGTGATGGGAAGTGAACAGGCCTGAAGCATGTCTGCCCCTGAAGGGGACATGTTAATCTGGCATCAAGCTGGCAGCCAGCCCCGTGTACGCAGGAGAGCTCAGCTTAACTGCTTTCTGCATGAGCCTATTGCCCACTACACAGTGCAAGCACATCTAATGATGCAATTGCGCTGTGTCCCCAAAGATGGGTACCTGGTGTCCCTGGATGCGGCATATGAGGGAACTGAATCGAGATGGCAGGACAAGACACTGTAAGGAGCATGGTCCCGCCAAAAATAGTGAGCCTTGCAATTTGGGACTTTGGGAATACACAAGAGAAGTACATCAAATTGACCCCCACAGTGTAGTATGCATGGTGAATGAGCATGTATGGTACCACTCAAGGAATCCCATCTGTGGGTGTACACATTTTTCTACAGATGCTTGATCATGTGTGAGCAACATGAACGTGAAAATTCCGCTGACGTACATATATTCACCCAGTAAACACTTCAATAGCATTTTGCGAGGTGAAGAAATAAGGAATTAACACCCATTAAGAAACCGCTCGACTTAACATAATTTCTTGCCAATCAGGTAGAGGGAAACTGTCACTTCTGTGGAATTTACACCACTTAAAGGAACATTATAGTCACTTAAATTACTTTAGCTAAATAAAGCAGTTTTAGTGTATAGATCATTCCCCTGCGATTTCACTGCTCAATTCACTGTCATTTAAGAGTTAAATCACTTTGTTTCTGTTTATGCAGCCCTAGCCACACCTCCCCTGGCTATGATTGACAGAGCCTGCATGAAAAAAAAACTGGTTTCACTTTCAAACAGATGTAATTTACCTTAAATAATTGTATCTCAATCTCTAAATTGAACTTTAATCACATACAGGAGGCTCTTGCAGGGTCTAGCAAGCTATTAACATAGCAGGGGATAAGAAAATCTTCATTAAACAGAACTTGCAATAAAGAAAGCCTAAATAGGGCTCTCTTTACAGGAAGTGTTTATGGAAGGCTGTGCAAGTCACATGCAGGGAGGTGTGACTAGGGTTCATAAACAAAGGGATTTAACTCCTAAATGGCAGAGGATTGAGCAGTGAGGCTGCAGGGGTATGTTCTATACACCAAAACTGCTTCATTAAGCTAAAGTTGTTCAGATCACTATAGTGTCCCTTTAATAAAACATTGAAAATTACCTATAAGTATGTTACCCTATTTCATGAGATGCTCTGTTTTTTTCTAAATGTATATTTAAGGGACATTCTAAGCATAATGCAGTGGTACTTTGGCACTGCGTCTGTCCCTGTATTCTTTCTGTATATTCTGCATATTCAGAGAATAGGCCGTGTTTACATTGATACCCAACGCCACATGTACTGGCTATCACTCTTTAGAGGTTTGGGTGCAAGCAGTACCCTACTGCCCTCCCAGAGTAATTGGTCAAACCATTAGAGAACAGTTTGAGAACTTATCTGGGGTCCAACAGGTGCATGTTGCTGCTGCAAGGAGTTTTCATTTGTTCCACTGAGCTAAGACCTGCCGCGCAGGACCCTATCATTGGCTGAAAGTGTCAGCTCAGCACTCTTAGATAATGAGAGCGTCTCTGCACTACCACTTAGCGGGCTCTAGTGGTTATGGTGCTTGGAGTGTTCCTTTAACCATGACTTGAAAAATCCTGACATTTCCCCTTTAAACACTTGTGAAATTGTTTGTTCAGTGAATTTTACTTTGGCTCTTATTTTTGTACAGGTCTCGTGGACATTGGAGAAACATGGCAATATGTGAATGAGTCCCGCGAGGAAACTCTAGAACTTGAGAATAAAGCTCTCTTGATGAATCTGGAACAGAAATACCTCACCATTGTTTCTAATGCCAGGTGGCTGCTGAAACCTATTCCAGCAAGGGGAGGCAAAGACGTGTGGGAAGTGCATATTCCTGACCAGTTAATCCCTTGAAAGCTAGGTGGACACATAACATCCCCAGGTTTAATTCGGGTCCATCACAGGCACGTTTCACTTTGCCTGTTTTTAGAAAGTAGTATGATGGTGGAGACAATGCAGCGGGGATTTGTAATACAAGTGGCAAGGAAAATGTTGCATTTCTGTACAGACTATACAGGAGTAGCAAAAAGCTGTAATTAGAATCCACAACTAGGGCATATGAACTATCAACAAGAGGCCGTTTGTTTATTATGAATGGAATACTTTTTACACCATGTATCATGAATTTAATAAATGTTATTTTTATTGCGTAGTCTCTGTGAATAGAGCTTTCAGAAATGTTTAGAAAAATGACCATTTGGTGTTAGATGGAACGAACACTAACAACCTTACCTTAAAAATATACTTGTTCTGATAAAGTTGGGCCTAATAGATCAACGCTTCTAGACTGTAATTTACATACAGTTGTCATTAGCTTATAACTGTTATCAATATATTTCCTCACCCTACCCTAGTCTAATGTTCACGCTCAATTCATAGAAGACTCCTTTTTTCCACCAATTCCTGTGTTCATATTTATGTTTCTCAATTCCACCAGTTTTGTTTTCTCCCACAAATCCAACTCAATCCTATTCCCTAAAACATCTTATTTTAATTATAGGCCTAATTTATCCCACCTTATCTAATTATGTTCCCATCAAATTACATTTTTCTGCTTCCTCTGTTGCTTTTCTAAATTACAAGTGAGCACGTTACATGTCACTGTTCCTACTATAGCTTCCTTTGCCCCACCCCCCTGTGGCAATTAAAGTGTTGACAACCCTTTAAACACTCATCTTATTAGTGCTGAGATGGAACCTAATGCACATGCAGAAATCAATGCTTTCCTATGGGAGATTTGGAGATGCACAGCATGAGGACATCCAGCGTTAGTTCACGGAATTAAACTCTGTGAAACAGTAGGAAGTGCCTCTAGGGCTATGTAGTAGACAGCCACTAGAGGCAGCCTTAACCCTGCAAGGTAAAAATTGAAGTTTTTTTTTAGATTGCAGAGTTAAGGGGACAGAGACACTGCACCAAAACAACTTAAATGAGATTCATATAGTGTCACTTTAAACACCACCTTCACATCGGGTCAGGACCGCAACACATGGCGGCGGGCACAGGTTGCAGGGCTGCGACCCCACGACCGCGTATGCACACACACTTAAAGGACCACTACAGACACCCAGATCACATCAGCTCAATGAAGTGGTCTGGGTGCCAGGTCCCTCTAGTTTTAACCCTGCAGCTGAAAACATAGCCGTTTCAGAGAAACGGCTATGTTTCACTGAGGGTTAATCCAGCCTCTGGTGGCTGTCTCATTGACAGCCGCTAGAGGAGATTCCACGATTCTCACTGTGTAAATCACAGTGAGAAGACACTGAACGTCCATAGGAAAGCATTGAGTACTGCTTTCCTATGGGCGGTTTAAATGCGCGCGTCTCTTGCCGGAGGGATCCCCAGCGCCAAGGGAGTCCGACGCTGAAGAAAGGTAAATGCTGAAGACACACACACACACTCTCACGAACAGACGCATACACACTAGCTAGCAGACACACACATTTACTGACAGACACACTCAGTGACATACATACACTTTCTCTGACAAACACACACTAACAGACATCAAACACACTCAGTAACAGACACACACAGTAACACTCACTAGCAGACACACACCCAATAACTGACACACACACACACTAACACACACACATTTTTTTTTTTTTAAATTGAATCCCCCCAGCCTCCTTACCTTTTGGAGAGATGGGGGGATTCCCTGGGGTCCAGTGGTGCTGCTGGGCAGGCGGGCTGGCTGTCTGGGTGGCCGGTGCGCGACGGAGCACTCTCCCCTGACGTCATCTTCCGGCTCCGGTATCAGTGCGGTGCGCGAGGGAGCTAAAGAGGGAGCACACAGGGGAGAGTGCTCCCTCGCGCACCGGCCACCCAGACAGCCAGCCTGGGGGGGCCCTGAGGTGGCCGGCTCCTGGGCCCCCCAGGAGAAGAGGCTGGCCCTGTGGGTACATACCGGGTCGCAGGGGCGACCGGGCCCCCTGGTGGGCCGGGCCCGGTCGCAGCCGCGACCCTGGTATGTACGCCACTGTGTGAAGACCTGTGGGTGCTCTCCTTTTATTTGATTTTGTATATTAAGCACTGGATCAGCCTATCCTGTTGTTCTTGTAATTGTAATTATATATATATATATATATATATATAAATATAATGTATGTATATGTAGATTTGATTATCTGTATAAGTCCTGTAGACAAGATGCCAAAATATCAGAGTATTGCAGTATGCAATGATACCTTTTTTATTGGACTAACATAATATTTCAAAGACAAGCTTTTGAGAGTTTTCCTCTCTTCCTTAGGTCTGAAGCAATAGTAGGCATTTTGTCTACTGGACTAATACAGCTAATCCAATCCAATATATATATATATATATCTCTATCTCAAAATGTTCTGGAGACCTCATAAAAAACCACAAGAGCAAAGATTTTGAGATAGAGATAGAGATATATATATATATATATATATATATATATCTATCTCAAAATGTTCTGGAGACCTCATAAAAAACCACAAGAGCAAAGATTGTGTGAGTCTCCTTGATCTAAGATGGCATTATTTTCAAACAATATCTGTCTTTTATACCACATGATATTTTTAGGCAAGGGTTATGGTTAAGGCTCGGAGTAGTGTAGGGGTTAAGGAGTGCCTCATGCTGCCCATGATAGTGAGAGTGACAGTCCTGGGCAGGAGCCAGTTCAGATCCAAGATGAGCTGAATTTAGATGGTAGCAGCTAACGCTCATAACTATCTTACGAAGTCCACGTTGCATATAATGCACCTATTATTATAAATTGTCTAGTTTATAGGGACACTTAGGTACCATGACTACTACAGATTAGTGCAGGCACCATGACCACTAGAGATTAATCTATTTACAGCATTTTTACAAACGTTGGGGGATTAACTAGCTTTTTTAGGCCACCTTGCCTCTAACATAATGAGGAATGCCATTTTCTTGTGATCCATACAATAAATTTAAATATTAATCCTTCATTGGAGATAACTCCAGCTAAAGGCCACAGCATATGACACATTTTCTACATTTAAATCTTGCAAGCATGACAAGTAAGATGCTCATAATAATGTTGGAGGAAGTGTGGATGAGAAATCCCTTTATTTTTGCCAAATCACTTGAAAACCAGAGTGACTGCACCCAGTTCTCATAACTTTGTTAAAGGACCACTATAGGCACCCAGAACACTTCAGCTCAATGAAGTGGTCTGGGTGCCAGGTCCATCTAGTGTTAACCCTGCAGCTGTAAACATAGCAGTTTCAGAGAAACTGCTATGTTTACAATAGGGTTAATCCAGCCTCTAGTAGTTGTCTCACTGACAGCCGCTAGAGGCGCTTCCGTGCTTCTCACTATGAAAATCACAGCGAGAAGACGCTGATGTCCATAGGAAGGCATTGAGAAATGCTTTCCTATGGACTGATTGAATGCGCGCGTGGCTCTTGCCGCGCATGCGCATTCAAAGCTGACGTCTGGAGAGGGAGGAGAGTTCCCCAGCGCCGAGGGAGCCCGGTGCTGGATAAAGGTAAGTTTTTAACCCCTTCAGCCCGGCGGGAGGGGGGCCATGAGGGTGGGGGGGGGACCTAAAGACCCTATAGTGCATGGAAAATGAGTTTGTTTTCCTGGCACTTTAGTGGTCCTCTAAACCATGGTCTCTGCAATAAACTGTGTAACCCTCTTACCTGGGCCGCTGCCGATCATTTGGACCACCCTTTTTCATTGCATCATTAACGTCACGTATCCTCTTTATTTAAAGGCCTACACGTATGTTGGTTTCGGCACACCACAATCGACTTTGCCCATATCACAGCTTTTGTGTCAGACGGTAAATATTGTTTTATATATAGATATATATATATATATATATATATATATATATAAATATATATATATATATATATATATATATATAATATAAACAATTATTATTTTTTTTTGCTCATAACACATCAAAACATCTGGAATAAATTTTTCCTCCATAAAATCATTTTATTTATTAAGGTTTTTTTTCTTTGCTTTTTCATGACATAAGCAAACTTGAGAAATGCATTGTGGTGGGACTGCATGTGGATAGGGTGAACCATACATGAAACTAGCAAGCGGCGATGGCATTTGAGGTGGAAGATACTGCAAGCCATAGCATGACATCATTGAAGCATGGTAAGAGTTCAGAATTGCCGGGTTTTGATACATGAATGGACAATGGGCCAGTAAATGTGTTGGTGGCATTCGAGCGATATGTGGATGAAAATAGGAATGATTGGATATATTTCCTATACCGAAGTTAGGTTTTCCATGTTCCTGCGATGTTTTAATTCCATTAGTTGGTTTAGTACTTCCTAATTGATTGGAATTGTCTGTGCATGTCGGTGAAGATCCCTTTACTTCTTCTGTAGCCTCCCTTTTGGATTGTCCTATGGCACATCTCTTAGTCATGTTGCATTGCTCAGTTTTTTCCAGTTTTCCTCTCCTCGTCACACTTATATCTGGGCTCAGATTTTCTCCAGTGATGTCGGTTCTTAACTTTTTGGCTCGAGTTGATATAAAATTTTCTCTGATTTTCACAACACGAGCTGCAGAAGGCAATTAAACAATTGACTATGTATTTATTACCAATGGTACTTTCGTGTTTGGTTCTCCCTTTCTAAATTATTTAATGTTTTTGGATAAACTTTTAATATTAATAGTGTGAGAAATATTTTAATTTTGTTAAATCTTGATATTTTTTGACATATTAATATATATTTTTTATAATTATATATAGTTTGCTATTTTAATATGTTGAAAAAATAACTTTGAAAGTTTATCAAAAAATATTAAATAGTTTGGAAAACTTATCCAACTATATTAAATCAAGGCCAATATCCTCAGAAGTATAAAAATTAATGCTGTTGTATAAAATGTATTAATTTCTACCTATTTATGTTACTGGCTCTTAGTTTTATCTCCTTTAACATTTTATACTTTTCTATGGTTTTTATGAATTATAGCATTTTTGATCTTGGCTGTCCATGAATCTGTTTATGTTGTCCTAAGCCCATTATTACTGTTACTGTTTATTATTCATCCACCTGTCTATATTCCACCTGCTTATTCTAACATGACATTTTGCATCTGCTAGAACATATTTTTATACCACCAAGTGATTTTGAAATAAACTTAGTTATAGTTTAATGAAAATGTCCA